GTGAGAAAAACGGTTGTGCCTCGTGCAGAAGAGAGAGGCAGATCTGAGGGGTGCAGAAAGATCCTAGCTCGGATCAAGGCTGATTCGAGGCATTTCTCTTAATGATTCGAGCTCGGATCGTCTGGCCTCGGATGCACTACTCCAGAAGTACAGACGAGGGCTCGGATCGCCCTTTGTTCACACGGATCCGAGCTCGGATCCGTGCTGGTCAATTTCCAGTTTTTTCACTTCTTTCCTTTTTTCTTCATTTTTGCTCCTAGTTTCTTTTGTACTTTATCCTCTGGACGATCCTTACACTTCCTTCATCTCGTGCATGAATTCCATATATCAATGTCCTTCACAATTTCATAAAATTAATGCGTTAATCACTCATTTGTCAAGTTTTGAACACTTAAACAATATTTAAACAATTATCACCAAAAAGAGTTCAAATATGGCTTTAATTTTCTCAAAACGTACCAAAAGTTTATGCCAAACTTGTACAAAATATGTGTTAAATATTCACTTATCAAATTCCCCCACACTTGAATCATTGCTTGTCCTCAAGCAATTCACACAAAACTTTACTACAGTGATTCAAGAGATAAAACAATATACGTACTTTTGTCAAATTTAGTTCCTTAAAAACTTAGAAACCAATCATTATGCCATTTCTTAAGTTACACTAAATACTCATAATATCAATTTAAAGAAGGATAATTATGCCTTAATTTTAACAAATTCAACTCAATCTCTCATTCTAACCTAATTTCATCAATAAGTAATTCACATAGTCAATTTATGGCCTTTCTCATCATATATCCATCAAATTTTTCATAACTAAAAGGGATTTAGTTATACTTCATTTTACTTAAATAGTGACAATGCCTTTTTACACGAAAATCGACACTTTTAGGTGAAGATTCCCAGTTATTCAACATTTCACTTATTCAAATTGCTAAGCATACTCTTAATTCCAATACCTTTTTACGCGAATGTCGACATTTGTAAATGCCAACCTCCGGTTACTCAGTATGTGAATCATTGGAGTAGAATAATATATATATATTTATTATTATTATTATTTATATATATAGATATATATATTTTTAATTTTTTTTATATTTAACAATCTTCCCTCCAAGTATAATTGCAGGATGAATCTGGCCTTGTTTTGATTATATCAATCACTTACTTATAAAATTAAGTAAAAATGAAAAATATCATTAAACATGCAAAATTCTAACATAATTTTCCTTATTTAACTTAATATACTTTCTAAAATGTAAAAATCCTAATTGCATAATAACTAATTCCAAGCCAAATGAGGACTAAACCTTCCCAAAATACATATAACATTTTATCCAATGGAAGAATTAGACACTTTTAACATTGAACATTTTGGCTATTATTTGAAAAATATTGTAATGAAATATTGAAAAATATTTTGGAAAAATTTTGATAGAGTTTTCCCATATAAATGGACAAAACTCCCTGCCAACAACCTCATTTTCAAGAAAATTAACCCCATGACAATATTTTCAAATATTATTCAAACATTTCTAAGCCATAAACAATTAAAATCATGTACTTCAAAATACAATCACCCCATAAGATAAAGTAATCCCTCTCCCACACTTAAAATTAACAATGTCCTCATTGTAAAGGAATGTAAAAGAAACTAGTACTCCCCTCAAAAGAAGTGGTGATGCAATTTGAAGCTACTAATCCTCACGAACATCCAAATTCTGTTCAAAAATGAAACAAAGGGTACGAAGAAACATAAGTAGCACAAGATAATCCAATATGAAAACTACAAAGTTTAAACCGAACACAATAAAAGAAAAATAAAGCAACAAAAGATGTAATCAGCTAAGAATCTTCATGGTTGCTCGGAAGGAGGGTCTATTGCCTCCTTAGCTCCATGAGGACCATGTGAAGTACCAATATGCCCCTCCTCATGCTGAGGCATCGGAGTAGGTGACCGACGGATGCTGAAATGATCCTCAATCGCCCGAAGACGGCGATCATGTTTGTCTAATCACTCCGTTTGGTTGATTCGCTCGATCACCCTCGTCTCCATGCAACAAATGGCATTAAGGACTTCTTGCCACTTGGAGCGCGGCGGGGGAGGTGGTCGCGGAATGGGAGGAGGAAGAGTCTGCTGCGCCTCTGTCTCTTGAACTACCGGTTCCTGCTGAGTATGAGGTGGAGGCTGAGCAGAGGTTGATGCTTCTCCAACATTCCGCACCAAAGAACCTCCAAAGTCAGTAGGGATGCCCAAGGACTTGAGTATTGAGGCATTGACCGGTTCCAAGAGGAACCTTGAGCTTCTCAAAAAGAAGGGAGAGAATGCGAGGGAACCCAAAACAGGTTTTGCCGGCTCTTATGCGAGCTGTGGTTCGCATGTAACTGATGATGATGCGGGGCAGAGGTATTCCAGTCAGCTGCCGACCCACACTGTTCATCATCTTATCCATGAAGTAGAGGTCACTATTGCGGAGCTCCCGTTTTTCACTTCTTTTCGATACCACATTGAAAGCAAAAAGATAGAAAATAAGATGGTACCGAGGCTCAAAGGAATCCGCATATACTATGAACTTCTTAGAACTTCCTCGCTCTCGGTATTGACCCTTAAGACGTGACATAGCTTCTCCCACTTGCCATGGATCACGTGCCTTGAATTCCTTGGTCAATTTCACATCTTCTCCGTCGTCCTTGAGTTTGACGAATTTGGCGATTGTATCCCGATTGAGAGCCACTCTTTTGCCTCGAACCCAAGAGACAATGAGGTTGCCACTGTGGCTTTGTTTTCTTTCCACGTTGGAGTAGAACTCCCGGACCAGATTAGGATAATAATGCTTCGGAAATCCGAATATGTTCTCCCATCCAAGTCGGTTGAATGCCGTGGAGATTTTGTAATGATCGTCCACCTCTGGTGCCAGATGTTTCTCAATTATGACCTCCTTGTCCAATCAGGCTTCATACCACTGTTGGTTTTTGAGCGAGGTGAAACGAGTGGTGTCATAATCTGGAGCTGGCTCCTCATGGCTCGAAGATGCTCTCTTACGCCGTGAGCGTGGAGGCGACTCAGGTGAAGGAGATTCCTCCACTGGTGACTCCTCGGGTGACGGAGTGCGTTCCTCGCTTGAAGAAGGGGAAGGAGTACGGATAACAGTTCTTCTTGTACGAGCCATAGTAGCTATACACAAAAATAAGATGAATATTCATTAGAAACAGTATAAACTTGCTCACACATGTTAAATAGGAATTTAAGAAAATTTCGGCAGAGTTTCCCCTTATAAAAGGAAGAAACTCCTTGCCAACAATCAACAATTTTAAGTAAATAATGTTCCTAACACTTCTCAAATCCAATTCCCACATTTAGAAAGAATATTACCAATAAGGATATCATGACATGCATAATAAGTCCAAACACTTGAGAATTATAGCCATTTGCAAGAATGAACATCTCAAAGAAATTTGAAGTATTAAAGACAATGTGCTATAATTCTTGCAAACACTTGAGAACATCTCAAACACTTGGGAACAACTCAAATCCAATTCTTGTAAAGCAACATTTTCATATGCATTGCCAAAACATCCTTAATTTACACTAATGATCGCATATCATTTCCAATTGGTACAACAGTGATTTATACTCCTTAGAACAAGTTCATATACTCAATGAAAGCAAAAATTCACAAGTCTAAATCACCAAATGCTCAAGCCCAAAAATTGAGAAAAATTCTCAACAATATCACCAAATCCACAATTCTCTCAATATTAAGCATAAAAATAGTTGTAACAACTTATGTTAGCACAATGTAGCACAAATTCAACAAGAAATTTCTACAAAGGTACATTTCCCAAAATATATAAATAACCATGAAAATAGGAAATTGAGAAATGGAAAATATCAAAGAAAGTCAAGAATTGTTACCTCAAGTGTGTAAAGTGATGCTAGAAGGTGGCAAGGATGCCAAATGTAATGAGAAACAATCCTAAATTCGACCCCAAATGAGCGAATTTCAGTTCGGTCATTGTCAAAGTTTTGACAATCAAAGACCCCCAAATTATTGTTTTTGATGCGAAATTGCTGAGGGTTTATGACCATAAGAGGTTTGGGGAGGTTTTTATGGTGAAATATTAGAGGATTATTGGATGAAATGGAAGATTGGTAGAGAGCGGCTAGGGTTTCGGGGAGAGAGAATAGAAGAATTCGAAAAATGCAGAACCGAAGCCTCGATTTTGCACTTATCGCGAACCGATCCGAGGTCGGATCCTCTCTGGCAGCCCCTCGGATCCGACAGAGCTCGGATCCGCCACTCCAGAAGTTCAGCCGAGCCCTCGGATCTAGCCTAGTTTTGTTAAATCCGAGCTCAGATCTCCTTTTTCGCCTTTGATCCGAGGTCGGATCCTTCTGGGTTGAGTCGGATCCGAGCTCGGATCTGTCTTTTTCTGCACTAATTGCAGAAACTGCAATTTTTCAAATTTTTCTCCCTTTTCCGGCCAATTCCAAATTACGCTTTGGACAAACTTTTTTTATCAATTCCAACCTCCCACGCACATGTAATATACCATAAACACAATATCCAACCTCTCAAAACGCATCAAACATATCTACATTGCAAATCAAGGGGTGAGGTTCTTTGATCATTTTTGCACTTTTACACCAAAATGACACTTTTCAAATGAGTCCATGAGCATTTATAAACATGTTATCACCAAAACTCACTTGAATATACTTGAAATGCACACTGTATATATGAATGGTAATTCTAAACACTTAAAGCACAATTTGGTAAGAAAACCTCCCTTTTTACACTTGTTCTTCAATTGTACCTCCATAATGGATGATGAAACTCCGGTACGTCTTACAAACAAGTGAAATATATCTAATTAGTCAATTAAATCACACCAAAATGTAAGAAATACATAAAAACACACAACTACAATATTATTATTGGGTTGCCTCTCAACAAGCGCTTTGTTTAGAGTCGTTAAGCTCGACTCTCCTATAGCTTCTTTAACTCTCCATTGCGTTTCCTAAGGAGTAAATTACTCCTTTAGGAACCTTTTCTCCGGCCAAATAGGGCTTCAATTTTTGACCATTTATTTTGAATGGGGCACCATTTTCTCCTTTTATTTCCACTGCTCCATAAGAAAACATGCGAACCACTTCGAATGGCCCAGACCATCGAGACTTAAGCTTTCCAGGGAATAATTTAAGCCTTGAGTTAAACAATAACACCTTTTGCCCTTCTTCAAAATGCTTAGGGAGAATGTGTTTATCATGCCAAAATTTCACTTTTTCTTTGTAAATTTTGGCATTCTCATACGAGGTTAACCGCGATTCCTCCAATTCGCTTAGCTCGAGCATTCTCTTTTCACCTGCAGATTTAAAATCAAAATTAATAGCTTTAATGGCCCCAATAAGCTTTATGTTCTATTTCTACAGGTAAATGACACGCTTTCCCATAAACAAGCTTATATGGAGACATTCCCAACGGCGTTTTAAATGCCGTTCTATACACTCACAAAGCATCTTCAAGCTTGTTTGTCCAATCCTTTCTCGATCGGTTGACAGTTTTCTCCAAAATGATTTTAATTTCCCGGTTGGCCAACTCTGCTTGACCATTAGCTTGAGGATGATAGGGAAGTGACTTTTTATGCCTGCATCCATATTTAAACAACAAGGTGTCAATAATTTTATTACAAAAATGCTTACCTTCTTCGCTTATTATTGCCTTTGGGACTCCAAACCTACAAAATATGTTCCGTTTAAGGAATTTAAGCACAACTTTAGCATCACTAGTTTGTGAAGGAATGGCTTCCACCCATTTAGAGATATAATCAACTGCTAAAAGAATGTACTTATTATTATATGAGCTAGGAAATGGTCCCGTAAAATCAATGTCCCAAACGTCAAATAGCTCAACTTCCAAATATGTAGTTAAAGGCATTTCATTTTTTCTCGAGATATTACCGGTTCTTTGGCATTGATCACAACTTTTAACCCAATTTCTAGCATCTCGGTACATAGTAGGCCAATAAATTCCAGATTACCATATCTTTGCTACGGTTTTAGTTGTACTAAAATGACCTCCCGATTCAAGGGTATGACAATGCTTTAAAATACTATATACCTCTTCTTCCGGAACACATCTTCTAATTATACCATTTGCACAATGTTTGTAAAAGAACGGTTCTTCCCAAAAATAATGTTTAGCATCATTTAAGAACTTTTTCCTTTGATGAGAATTCAAATCACTTGGTATCACTCCACTAATTACAAAGTTAACTAGATCAGCATACCATGGTGACTTATAAATTGCCATTAAAAACTCATATGGAAATTCTTCTTTAATGGATGAATGGTCTTCTTGAGGTATATTTTTCAGTCTAGAAAGATGATCAGCGACTAAGTTCTCGGATCCTTTTTTATCTTTGATCTCCAAATCAAATTCCTGCAATAATAAAATTCGTCGAATTAGTCGAGGTTTTGCATCTTTCTTATTTAAAAGATATTTGAGTGTTGCATGGTCGGTATAAATGATAACTCTAGATCCTACTAAGTACGATCTAAACTTATCCAATGCAAATATCACTATTAGCAACTCCTTCTCTATTGTTGCATAGTTAACTTGGGTTTCATTTAACATTTTACTTGCATAATAAATGACATGAAGTCGCTTATCATGTTTTTGCCCAAGAATAGCTCCAACTGCAAAATCACTTGCATCACACATCAATTCGAATGGTAAGCTCCAGTCCGGTGATACTATTATGGGTGCGGAGATAAGTTCTTTCTTCAACCTATTAAAAGCAGATATGTTCCTTCTTCAACCTATTAAAAGAAAATAAACATTCATCATTAAAGTGAAAAGGAACATCTTTTGCAAGTAATTCACATAAAGGTTTAGCAACCTTGGAGAAATCCTTAATAAACCGCCGATAAAATCTCACGTGTCCAAGAAAGCTGTGAATGCCTTTCACATTGATAGGTGGAGGCATTCTCTCAATAACCTCTATCTTGGCTTGATCTACATCAATACCTTCTGAAGAAATTTTGTGGCCTAGCACAATACCCTCACAAACCATAAAGTGACATTTTTCCCAATTGAGTACAAGATTTGTTTCTTCACATCTCTGTAAAATTAGATCTACATTGTTAAGACAATGATCATAAGTAGATCCAAATACAGAAAAATCATCCATGAAGATTTCCATAATTTTCTCATTAAAATCAGAGAAAATTGCCATCATGCATCGTTGGAAGGTAGCCGGTGCATTGCACAGTCCAAAAGGCATTCTTAGAAATGCAAAAGTACCGTAAGGACAAGTGAATGTGGTTTTCTCTTGATCTTCCGGTGCAATGACTATTTGATTGTATCCTAAAAAACCATCCAAGAAACAATAAAATTCATATCCGGCCATTCTTTCTACCATTTGATCAAGAAAAGGAAGAGAGAAGTGATCCTTTCTAGTAGTTGTGACGACCCCACCTCCACCTAAGGCGTACCAAAGGGTTCGGCGGACCGCCTGCCCAGCTCTCGCCAGGACTCACTCACTATCTCAATCGAGTCATGTACACACATCCATGAACCATAAATAACATTCACAATTCAAGCTTATAATTTACATTGATAGAAATCGAGGTACAAAGCCTCAATACACCAAACTAGTTCAAAATGTATACAATCCAAGTACAACATGTTCCATTCGAGGAATTGCGCGAGTACAAGTCAAAAGTCAAAACAATTTCAAGAGCAACTAGACTACGCTAGTCTGTTCACGACTCACGCCTCACTCGTATTCCTGTAAGGAAAACAAATAGCGTGGAATGAGCTAAAAGCCCAGTGAGGTTTCAAATAACAAATTGCCCATTTTAAAAGTATGAATATCCATGTAGCAAGTTAACGGCATCAAAACTCATAAGAGTGGACAATAATATTTCAAGTAGCAAATTTCCAAATGAGCACGTATAAAGTGCTTTTCGATTTTCAAAAGGAACAGCAATCCAATAAGCAATAATCACTTTCAAGTATAAGGATACGGAAGGCACTCAGGAGCCAAATTTCCATTGCATCTCCAGAGCTTGATCAAGTAACAGTTGACACTCCGTCAACTTTTAAGTAGGTAACCAATCCAGTAGAACACCACTTACACGACTCTCCGTCCACCGTTCACCCCCTACTGGGCCCAAAATCCTCAATAAACACGTGTGGTAATACTCGAGTATACCGTTTAGCCGAGGAGATATCACTCCACTCGACAAAACAAGAGACCCAGGGTTCGTTACCCAATCGACCAAGCCCTTGCCGGCTCGACTCAAGTAACTTGCCGCAGGGTTTCTGGAATTCCAGGAAGTGCGCGCACCATAAACAAGTATATCAAGTCAATTGCAACAATAAACAAGTATATCACGTAAGGGCAAGTGCGATAAAGTACACTCTTGCCCTAACAATTCACGTATATAACATGTACTCATATTGGTCACGTATCAAGTTCAAGTATCTAGTGCAATTCGGTATTTGAAAGCACTCACCAAAAGATATAGTGCCTTTACTGGTCACTTTCAGGTTATACTCCGGTTCGGAGTCCAAATCTGCGATAAAACTCAGTTTGAGAACTTTGAAACATGACTAAGATTCACAACTTAGACGTTTCGTTCAATAAAAATCAAGAGATTGAAATTCACTCGGATAGTAGTCGTGAAACACTTGCTCGCTTTTTTAAACGATAAAACTTTGTAACATTTATACTTGAAATTGTCTTGCGAGTTGAAGTACAAGGAAAACATACTTCGAGCAATCATTATTTCATTTCTCAAGGGTACAAGTTCGGCCAAGTCCTTACTTACATACCTCGAAACAAGAAGACTCAAGTACCCTAGATGGTTCAAGTACTATTCATATCAATTCGACCCAAGTCGCAAGTGTATTTATATAGTCTTCGAGCGTAAATTTGGGCAGCATGCCCTTTGTGTTTACCTAATTTTCCAGCCATTTAGGCTTCATTATTTTTCCTCAACCAAAACCCAACATCACATGTATCAGCAATTCATGTCAAGAGCCGTTCCATAGGCTCACAATATCATAAAAACAAGATTCACAACAACCACAAGTATAGAAATTCAACTTAGCACAAGACAGATTTGATGTACGAATGCGGAAATAACATATCCGAGGCTACGCTTATCAGATTGAGGCGCAACCTATGCCGTTTCGAAGCTAAGACTCAGGGCTACAATGTTCATGAATATCACTAAGTCCAGTTTCTAATGCAACTTAGTCAAATCCTCAAATTACAGAACCGAAATCCAATTCGTCGGCTATTTATCCACACTGCACTGGAATGGACATAACTCAGTGTACACAAGTCCGAATCAGGTTTTCTTTGAGGCATTTTAAAGCTACTTCAGAACACTATAACTTTTATGTTTTGGCCCAGAGCTAAATCAGAATGGATCCTGGTCAAAAATCGTGATAACTGGACTGAACTGAAGAAACGGACTGCTGGGAAATTCTTAAAACAGTAGGGGTATTTTGGACTTTTCACGTTCTGCGTTGCTCCGATTGAGCTGAAATTTTGTAGGTAACTATAAAATACCATTCTCTACAACTTTCATGTTTTATGCCAAGCCAAATTCGGCCTCTAACATGGTGCTACAAAAACGGGCAGAATAGGATGAAAATTTCCAGAAATCTGAAATCTTTTGGTTTCAATTGAACTTTCTTCAATTCCTTGTTCCAATCACTACCAAAGCCCCTTGTATAATCTTATATACAACATATACTAACTATACAACAAGTTTAGGCAGAAATTAATCAAACTCTAACTTACATATTTCATCCAACAATCATCACAACAACTTGCATCACTTGTAATCAAACCCAAAACATGGACTATTTAACATCTTAAACAAGAATAAAAGGATCAAAGCCATAGATCAGATTTTATACCTCAAAAAGAAGGCTTGCAAGAGTGATCCTCCACTATTTCTTGAAATTTTTGGTTCTCTTAGCTTCCCAAGCTTCCAAACTTACGATCAATCGGTTTAGAATTTTTGTTTCTCACTTGGATGGTGTAAATCAAGAAGAAAATGGTTGTTTCTTGCTCTCCCTTTTCTCTCTCTCTTGCTCGGCTGTGAAGGTGCAGAAATGAGGAAGAAAGGCTGCTAATATGGTGTTAATAAGACAAGAGGATTAGGACTAATTGTGACCACAAGTTGGCCTAACACTTGGCTCAATTTCAACCACTCAAATTTTCTCTTTCCTTGTTTTTTCTTTGCCTTAAATTTCGGCCAATAGGAGAGCTAAGAGGGGGAAGATATTTTTCTCCATTAGTGATAAACTTGTATGGCAAGAAAGTGGTAGTCAAGTGGTGCGTTCAATCGGTAGTGCGCGGGACCCGCCGGTTCGCGCCGTTTTTCTTAAAAACACACGTACTAGGATTTTTACTTCCTATTTACTAACCTTATATCATTGCTACTACTCACAAATTATTTTTCACTTAAAAGTCACTTTTAATCACCAAATTGATCCTTGGTCAGTACCGAAAATTCATCCGGCGAAAAATCGCGAAAACCCTAATTTTGCTCAAATCTTGAAACCGAAGTGTAAAACCCTATTTCCAGGTTCATCTGCACTTATTGTTGAACAATTGGGTAGTAGGGCCTTAATAAATAATAATTTTCAAATAAAAGGAATTTTTTAAGAAAACGTGAGGAATTTACAATTTCA